TTGACCACATGCTTGTCATCCCTCTGATGCAAATTAGAAAGTTGACTTTATTAACTGTAATGTCTGCCTGGGTTTTTAACAGGCTGTGAACCAGTGAGTGCCTTGTTTATGTAGAATGATTTTTCCCCCCTGGTTGTTTGTTAGCTCCTCTCTGAAAATGTCTCAGAGAATGGTATTTTAGTTGACTTGTAGAGAGCTGCTAAATTTGGTGTTATCAGCGATCAGAAAGTCTTCAGTGTATCACATACCTCCCTCCCGACTTTCTTCTCATTGTTTGGTGAAGTTTGCCTCTTGTGAAAAATTAATACCCCCCCCTCCCCCCCAACACACACACACACCTTCTCCACATACTTTTTTCCAATCCAGATTAAGAGTTATCCCCTACATCCATCCCAACTATATGATCTAATACCTGTTTTTAGGAGGAACCACTTCTTTGTAATCTTGAAGTTTATTGGTTATTTTATGTTTCCTCAACTACAGTTTACTAGAGCTGATCTCGGGGCATCATCAGTTCAGATTCCTAAGTCATTCCTTTTCTCCACACCCCACACCCCTCAACTGGTGAGCCCTGGGACAAATTGTTTGATCTTCAGGTATTTGAAAAATTAGTTATAATATCAATTAATGTAAATTAATCCAAATGCTAATTTTTGTGGTGCAAGAAATTTCTTTTGTAAATTCAGGGTATAGATAAGCTAATTGAGATATCCTTTTCTGGTGGCTCTAAGTGTATAATTGTTTTTAAATAAAGTGTACAAATATAGATAATGTGCTATAGGTGTCATGAATTGAAATAATTGTCAGATTTGAAATATAATGGATTTGCAGTTAAAATACTTTAATACAACCTGATTTTGTTATTTTGGGGTGGTAGATGAGAGGTACAGAGAAATAAAAGGTTATTAGACAAAGTAGACGTGAATCCAAAATAATGAACCAACCTTAATTATTAATTGTGAGTACGGTGGAGAAGTTTATTATTATAGAGAGTTTGGACCTTAGGAAAACCAGTAACATTAAAATACCCCATAAGATTGGATCATTGGTACTTTTCAGGGCCACAGGTTTATTTTTTTTCAAGTGTTTAGTTACATAATTTTAAAAAATTATACATATAAATATATATAAATTTCATGTGTTTTTATTTTCCTTGTTTGGCTACTTATCACACAAGCATTAGCCTTGTCCTTTCTCTTGTGCCTTCATATCAACATTATTTTTCAAGGGCTTTGCCTGCCCAGAACTCACAATCTCTTTGTTCCTATCTGGAGTCACAATACTATATGGAAGAGATACTGTATCCTTCTGATGTCCTTGAAACTATCCACTGTTCTTTGATGTTTTCTATGCAGCTGTAGTAATGAGTATTAAATCCTTTTGTATGTACACATTTTTCAGTAGTGTCAGAAATGTCCCCTCCCCCTTTTTTTTCCCTTTCGTTCCTTTTTTAAAAAAAAATACATTTTATTGATTTTTTACAGAGAGGAAGGGAGAGGGATAGAGAGTTAGAAAACATTGATGAGAGAGAAACATTGATCAGTTGCATCCTGCACAACCCCTACTGGGGATGTGCCTGCAACCAAGGTACATGTCCATGACGAAACCTGGGACCTTTCAGTCCGCAGGCCGATGTTCTATCTACTGAGCCAAACCGGTTAGGGCCCTTTCGTTCCTTTTAGTGAACATGATTTGCTTGGAGTTATTTTCGAGTGATCAAGTTCAGAAGGTCAAGTTTTTCACCCATTGATGGACCCCTGGGATCAGCCCAGGTTCAGAGTAATATTCTGATTTGCATTGGGTTTCCCAAGACCAGCACTGAGGTTTTGCAGGGTCCCAGAGTTGTCATGGCACTTGGGGTATTCCCTAGGAATACCTGGAAGCCTGGCAGCAGGCTTTCCACCATCACTATAACCATGAAGCATCCCTCCACTTGTTATTCCTCAGTTACACTTTGTTTACATTGATTGGGACACTCCAATTCTAAGGAGGAGCACTCACATACAACTCTGAAAATTTGAATCAGTATTTTCTGGAATGCAAAATACTTAGTATATTTTGATTCTTTCAAAAATCAAACAGAATCCAAAATCCATCAAATGAAAAAATGACTCACTTTGAATTTCACTTCGATCCTGCAAAATCCTAACCCCTATCTTATTCCTAGTTGTTATTAGACTAAAGGTAATGGTCAGACTTGAAGATGGATCTGACTATTTGGGTGAACAAAATCTGCCATATTCTTACTAATAAGAAGGGGCTGTTTCATAGAAAATTCTCTTGTCCTTGGTAATTTAGCACCTCACCTTACATGAAGACTGTCCAGATGCTAGCACCACATTTACTTTTCCTGTGTGCCTCTTTAAAGAGACAATTAATCCAGTGATGTGAAGGGGAGCCCACAGTAAAACATCTGTTAAGTAGCGCTTGGAGTACTAGAGTTAGTATTTATTAATTCATGTGCCGAAGTTCTTCATGCCCTCGTAAGATCCAATGCATGTACCAGGTTTCCAATCTATGACCTCAAACCAAAGAATTTTAATTACCTCATATAATAGCAACATCATATTAAGGGTAATGGTAAGGAAACCCATCACCCACAAATGAGAATTCCCAAACATCCTTTAATTAAAAACTGCACGGAAAGCAAAATGTAATGCTAAGCATGAGCTGTAAAAATACTTGTGGTTTATATAGGACTAGATGACTGGTGCACAAATTCGTGCACAGGTGGGGTCCCTCAGCCCAGCCAGCTATCAGGGCTCATCTCGCACAGTCCTGATTGGGCTGATTGGGCCTTGGCTGGCCTATCGGGCCTCTGACCGTGGGAGGTTGGCTGTGGGAGCACAGTGACCACGAGGGGGCAGTTCCTGCATTAAGCATCTGCCCCATGGTGGTCAGCGTGTCATCCTAGCGACCGGTTGTTCAGTTGACCGGTCCTGACGGTCACTTAGGCTTTTATCTATATAGATGTACTGCAATGTTGAAGTATGCTAACGTGCAATTCTTTATGGGAGGGGCACCAAGGCAGAAATATTTCATTAAAAAGATGAGTTTACCATAGAGCAAAAGAAATATCATAGAAACAGTTTACTTGGGCGCTGGATAAGTTGGGTGAGGGTGTGGGGAAAGAAGTACCACACCAAGAAGGAAGAGTCCACCCCTCACTGTCTCCCTTTGTCTTTACATGGCCTGGAAAGCTGACCTCTGAGGTCCTTTGACCTCTAAAAGTGAATGGATCCAATTCTGACTTGTCATTAGTCCTTGTAATCTAAAGGTTTTTAGGAAATGCCTCGGAGACCTTCCTCCCTGTCCCCCTCCCTCAACTCCCCCCCCCCCCACAAAGTGTCAGACAACATAGCTTTTATATTATTTTAGGAAGCTATATTAACAGGCCCAGGTATGCTGTGTCATGTGCATATCTGAATGAGGACTAGACATGTGAGAAATGTCTTCATGTGGCCAAGTGATAATCTCATGAAAAGACAGGAGAATCAGTTCTGTTTTTAATGATTTTGACTGTTTTGAAAGTATTTAAAATATATATTTACATCTTTTTCTACAGACTTTTGAGCCTAGATATTTCAGAATAGCCTTTTAATGGCATAATTTCATTCAAGGTATATTTTAGAAACAGACCTCAATGGTCTTACATATCTTTTGACACTCATTGATGAATAACATTCCTGATGCCCTCCACTCTCCGCCCCCAATACACAACTGCTATGTAGGAATGCTTTTATATTTGGTAAACGTCTCAGCAGTTTGCTGACAGGGAAAGCAATAGTACTGTACATAGCTTGCAGATAAACATGGAGCCTTATGCTTTTGCTACATGTTAAAATGAGTGGAATGTTTAGATACAGTATATATGTGATGTAAATAATGTTAATTAGTAGTGTCCCCCTCAGAGTTAATGACTGGTAAGTTAAAATCAGTTTGCCATTAATAAATTTTAAAAGTATGTAGGTTTAACCAAAATACTATTTATCATTCAATTCACTTGAGTGAAAGCTTTGCTTTTCAGTGAAATAATTTCCTTGTCTATCTCAGAGGCAGAGAAATCAGGCTTTCTCCCAACTAAAACATTCAGACTTTCACTTATTCCTTTCATCTGCCTTTTGAACAAGCAAGACAATAAGCTCCTATTTCTCACTGCTGTAGGATACTTAGGAATACATATCTAATTCCAATTTTTTTTTAAATGAAGCTTGCAAGCAGACTTCTTTCTTTTTAGAAACATCATTGCTTTCTGGAGGCAGAAATAATTTTATTTTTTAATTTGGGAG